ACTGTGTCCAACGAAGCTACCAGTGAAATGGGATATCCAGCTTGGCCGGCTGGACGTACCTGCATCTGAGTTGTGAATGTTTTAGCCACTCTCCATCCAATCGTAGAGGTCCTCAGGCTGTTGCAGGATGATTCAGGTCTGCAGATGTGCGCTCGTCGATTTTTGCTTTCTTTCCATGTCTTGAGATTTGCGCTTGGAGAGCTTTTGAACTCGAAGAGTTTTGGAACTTGTAGTTGAACTTGAAGGAGTTATAGGTTTCTCGTGCTGTTTTACTTGGACCCTTAGGTTTTTCACTTAGGCTGGCGTGTGGCAAACCGCAACCAAACCAGTACGCATTTCTACAAGTGTGTGTGTGTGTGGGAGACTGCATGGGGGGGTCACGACTGTGTCCGGGGTGAACTGGCGGAAAAGCGAGTGCGGGTTGTCGATGGCGCATTGTTTGGTGGCCAGCGCCCGTTCATGCAATCATAGTATGAACGGGATGCGATTTCTTTTCATGACCCCTTGGACTGGCACACACACACACCCACCTGAAAGAGGGCACAGAGAAATGGACACAGCAGCACACTTTGAGCAACCTGCCAAGCAATTTCTTGACATCTCATGACCTGTTTCATTTCTCTCCTGCTTGAAACATCTTGAGAGGGTGTCGCTGCTCCCTGGTGTTCTGACATCCCTAGTTCTGCAATTCTGGACTGTTTTGCCTTCCTGCTGCAGAAAGCATCCATTGAAAAGGTGCTCCAACTGCCAAAAGAATGGTGCCGTTCTGATGATTTAAGCAACATTTCCATCAAGCCGTGCAAAAGTAAGAGCACAATGTAAATGCATTGATACTGCAACCCTGATGTGACCTAATGATGCGATCTGGTGAGCAAAGAGTAGGATGAAGTACGTGCAAGAACGCAGACACAGATTGGGTGATAATTGGATGACTTCCCCAGAAGTTTGTGACTTTGGCGCTGAGTCTAGATATATTATATATTGGGAAGAAGTTTCAATGTATAGATCAGATGTAGTATGTACAGTATTGCATTTTAGTTTTGACCCGCTCGCAGCCCGTTTGCATTCACAGAAAAGTTCGCATGGTAGCGGAGCAGGGATAAGGGTAACCCCTTTTAGCTCCAGAGAAAAGCCCCTAGGTCCCTAGGATCCCGGGAGAGTTTTCGAGCCATAGATTTGAGGCCTTTGGAACCCAAATAGCTGGACTGGTGATAGATTGTTGTGAGCTGCACTCTGTACCCCCCGTACATAGTGTCAGAAGGACGTTGTTGTGGAGAGATGGATGAGATCAGAGAAATCCTTCAAGTTATAGCACAGAGTACAGCAGCAGCAGCATCAGCAGCTGAGGCAGCGAAGAAAGCAGTTGAAAAAAGAAAGCAACTGCGACGGATTGGTCAAAGTTGGTTACAAAGCCCAATCCTTTTGATCGCAAGTCACAAGAAGAAGAGATCAAAGCGTTCAGAGAGTGGTCATGGACAGTTGAGAAGTGCTTGAGCTCAGTGGATGAGGCTTACATGAGGGACTTGAAAGAGATTCGTGATAAGCCCGATGAGAGCTTTGACATGGACTTGGCAACTACACAACAAAAGACAACAAAAGACCAGGTGCATCAAGCTCATGGGTTGTTAGCTTCGTTGTGAAAGCGTGGAGGACTCCAATGGATTTGGGGCCTGGCGCACTAATTTCCTCAGCGTCAGATGGTATCTATGTTCGCTCAGTTCTTGAATTTGCGCTTGGGACAAAGGTGGACCATTACATCTTCACAGATTCTTCAAGTTCGTTCCAACTTGTGAGAAAAAGAGGAGTTGGGAAAGTGAGACGTTTAGATGGAAAGTTGCTGTGGATTCAGAAAAAGGAACGATTTCAATATGGTGCAAGTACGAACGGACAGCAACATGGCAGACATCAATACCGTGCCACTTTGAGGGCCTGAGAATCAGATTCTTGATGAACCTTGTTGGTTATTGGCGCAAGGAAGAGCAAACAAGGAGATACTGACAACGCTGCCAATTATAGGCCCATTTCTCTTCTGAGTAGCCTTTACAAAGTATATACGATCATGATACGCCAAAGAATGCAGAATGCTATTATTGATGCTTTATCCAACACACAGTACGGATTTCGGCCTCAGAGATCAACATCCCATGCAATATATATCATTCCCAGGCTCCAAGACTACGCCGAGTCAAAAGTGCCCGATTGAGTCTAGCCCTTTTAGATTGGGAAAAACTTTCGATAAAGTGCGGCGCGATGAACTAATTGTTGCTTTACAACAAATGGGCTTTAGTCAACATTATTGTAATATCATTCAAGACTGCTATAAAAGGCCAACATTTTTCGTGAAAGATGCGTTTGGATCATCCCAGGTCAAATACCAATCTTCTGGCATCAGGCAAGGGTGCCCCCTTTCCCCTTATTTGTTTGTTATTGTGATGTCGTGCGTGGATTTTGAGATTCGCTCCAAAAACAGTCGATGGGTACACAATGGCAGAGTCCCAAATCTGGATTTTGATTTAGTTTACTATGCAGATGATACCATCCTCTTTTCTACTGACAACAGGGCACTAAATGAGTTGTTGAAGCTCACGGAAGCTATCTCCTGCAAATACGGACTGCGGCTAAACAAAGACGAGTGTGTTGCGATACTAAGGAACAATGATGGTTTGGTCTATTTTCAAAACCTCGAACCATTACCCAAGAAGTTCGAAGCGACTTATTCAGGCAACGAAATTAACAAGGAAGCGAAGATTCGACACGAAATCTTGAACCATATGCAAGAAGTAAGACAAACCTGGTTCAAGTTGCTGCCGCGCTGGAAAGCAACAAAAATGCGAACGTGAAATGGCAACTGCTTATTTTTGATGCTGTTGTTCGATCAACATTGCTATACGGACTTGAAACTATACACCTCACCGACGCCATGCTGAAGAAAATTGATGCCTTCCAACTACGGTGCTTGAGGAAAATCCTCAAGGTTCCGTCAACATCTATAGACAGAAGAAACACAAATACAGAGGTTCTGAATAGACACACAGCGCTGGCATATCCAAACCGAGGCGACCGACGTGAGTTTGAATTATTCAGCCAATCGTATCTCTGTAGGAACTCCAAATCATTGGGTCATGCAGGGCTAGCCACGACGATCCTATGCGCCAAATTTCCAGCCCTATTCTACACTCAGAGTTTCTTATGGGAAAAAACGAGTCGGTCGCCCGAGACAAAACTGGTTGCATTACGCCAAAAACATACTTTTGAACATATCTTAGGTGGTTATGATTACACAGAAACTGTTGCTGAAGACTCACGAATTTATAATGCAGCCTTCACTCGAACTTTCTGATATGTAAAAATGCCACGGCTTCTCTTGGCTACGCCAACGCCTTGCATTATATGACTGAAGTCAGTGCAGGGCACGGCTGGGAAAAAAGAGCAAACAAGAGTTGGTGAGCATATGAAGAGAAAAAGAACTTTGCAGGCAAGGTCAACAAAATTCCCAAGATGATTGTCAGATTGTAGGCTTAGAGGGCTTGCAGCGAATGGTTCCAAGTGTATTTCCTGGAGACATTGGGCAGTGCAGATTGGAAGTGGAAGATTCCAAAAGAAACTGGAGCATCACAATCATGGTGATCATTATCATTGGTTTTGCAGCAATGACCTTTGCAATGTGGAAGATTACACACTTCTAGCGCAAGTATGACGAGTTGAGAGCTTTGGTCAACAGAACTCAGGATGGTGGAGATTGAACACATGATTGACCAGAGAGATGAAGATGAACATAGGATAGACAACCAGGTAGGTTAGGCCAGTAGATTTCATAGTGGATTGATTCTCAATGGGGTGTTTGTAGAACAAGACTTAGCCAGAAGGAGCTTGGAAGATGTGAGATCAACCACAGGACGGCATCATGGTCAGACTGTGATGGTGAAAGCAGCTACCCAAGGAACAATTCCCACAGAGGGACCGCTATCAGGAAAATTCAAACCAGGAAATGGAGAACAGATGAACAAAGTGGAATATGACAGAGAACTGGCAGTGCAGCTATGTGGTCGACCTGAGAGGAAGACTGAGCAACTGAGAGAAGGACACTGGAAGCTGCTAGGAAGAGGAGAAGAGGATTTAGCAGATACAGTTGAATGTGAGAAGGAACGGTATAAAAGGTTGCTTGAATTCATGGAAAAACAAAGCAACAACCCAGAAAACATACCACCAGATGCCTCAAGGAACCCCGTTTTTGAGAGGAAAAACAACTCGACAGAAACTAGCTCCGATTCAGAAACTACGATTGAGAAACTTGCGATTCTGAAACTACAGAGTGTCCCGATTCAGAAACTAACCCGTTTCAGAAACTAGCCGATTCAGAAGCTGGCCGGTTCAGAAACTTTCCGATTCAGAAACTGGGGGAGGGGGGGGTGGGGTGGGGACCTAATGAAATGTTTGTGTTGATGTAGCGTGGACATACTCGTATTTCACAGGCCCGATTCAGAAACAATTCGATTCAGACCCGTTCTAGTTTCCGAATCTTAACTTCCGAATCCGTGCTCCTTCTAGTTTTCGAAATCTAGTTTCCGAATCTCGAGTCCTAGTTTTCGAATCCGTGCCGAGCCTAGTTTCCAAATCAGTGGCAACCCTAGTTTCCGAATCCGTGGTTCTAGTTTCCGAATCCGCCGTTGACTGCAATTAAGCGCTTACACTACCGAGAGGGAGCGGGGAGAAGTTTCAATGTAGATCAGATGTAGTATGTACAGTATTGCATTATAGTTTTGACCTGCTCGCAGCCCTTTTGCATTCAGAGAAAAGGTCTAAGTTTTGTTAAGACAACATAGACAGTTCCTCACAAATTGGAGGTTCCTTTGTCCCGTGTCCCTTCATTTTCAGACATTATGCCCTTAGGGACATGAAAAGAGACTTGGAAGGTCTTCATGGGCAGACATGCCCAAATCGCACCCCATGTTTTCATCCACATTGAGCCTTTACTGGCAAAACGGACTTTGTTGATGGTGTGATTTGCAAGTTTCAATCTCCGCAGATACTACTAGCCCCCCTGCCTGTCAGATCGACTATTCCGACAACTGGCAAGCTGAAGTCGACAAGATGATGGCGGACAAAGATCCGGATTTGTTCATGCTCCGCACAAAAAAGGGCTTTTTGATCACATTTGTTACTCGTGATCCTCATTTGGAGCTGTCCAGAGACCCTGATGAATTCGAGTTTCCTGTTCAACTCATCTCGAAGGCGGGGCTGATCAGAAAAGAAGTTGCTTGACATTTTGCACTTTGCATGAGACGTCAAATGAAAAAATAACAGTCACCAAACAACAATGTGTGTGGTTGGCTATCAGTGCACTTTTTCAGGCAATCATGGTATGAACACGATGCGATTTCTCTTCATGACCCCTTGGACTGGCACACACAGACAGAAATGAACTCTGCCAAAGCACACTTTGGGCAACCTGCCAACCAACTTCTTGAAATGTGTTGAGTTGTAGGAATGCGTTGATGCAGTTAGTGAGAGCGCAATGTAAATGCGTTGATAGTGTGACCCTGATGTCACCTGGTCCTATCCGGCCCTCCTTTGCAGTTTCACGGGCACCAGTAAACTTGATGTGATCTGAGTTCTAAGTGTGTGAGTGCATATACACTCCCTGAAATGATCATGGAAGGGGATGGCATGGCCCCTTGGAATACCATTTTCCTCGACGAACAGGTGGGTTTCCAGTTCCATGATTATTGCAGGGAGCGTACAGTATTAGTGCATGCTTTGAGTGATCAGTGATCAGCATGATATTGTGGTCACTGATGTATAGTGCAGCATTCCATGCATGATAATTGATGGTCAAAAAGGGTCCTTGGTATCTGTGCACTGTAGCACGAGAACGATCGATCCTGCCGCAGGTATCTTGCCTGGACAGGGCCAAAGCCTGGTTTTTTGGCATTATATAGATCCATTATTTTTTTTGGTTGCTTTGTCCCTTCCTTACAATGCAGTGTCTCCAAATGTTACTTCTATTGTTCCTGCCACTATAGTCTCCAGCTCTTCACCGGAACAAGAGGAGGACACGATGAAGACAATTCAAGTTGACTTACCAAAAGTGCGTACAAATCAAGGAGCCAAGAATTTCTGCTCCTTGTCTACAAGCAGCTCACACCTACCAAACGAAACTTGGCTGATTTGTCAGCGAAGTGGGTCACTGCGTCACTTGCGTCACTGCGTCACTTATTTTTTTCTGGCTGAACATTGTTTGAGTTATGTTGATTCACATTCTATCAGATTCGATGTTTCAGATAAAGTTATCAAGTAGAATATGGTTTGATATGTTGGCATTCTGTTTTGTTGGTGTCGGGGCAAAAGCAGCCTTTGTGCAACAGCAGCCAGTGTGCAATTCGATAGATCTTCAAATCTTAAGGGATGCATGGTGGCACAACTCGCAGACAAAAACATTATCGCCCTCAAGACTAGGTATGGGCAAAGGGCATGGAGAACAAGGATACTGAGGGATGTTTGCAAACCACGGTCACTCACCTTCAGGCCAAGCTAAACTGTGTTTGTGTCATGTGTCGCTGCACTATGCTTTGAACCAAGGAAAGATGCTGCTGTGGGAGAATCTAGGCTACACTACGTATATTAAAAAAACATATATATACATACTACCCGGAGATGAGTTGGGAGTAGTGAAACATATATGCGGAAATACATTTTCCCATCTCTCGTGTCCGCGGCTGCATTCTGATGGGATAGTTTTGGACCAAAAGGAAACGTATCTCATGTGTCCAAACCACATGAAGGAGGCCCATAAGGTCCTATCTCATGAGGGCCTATCTCAGATTTGGCCTAAGCACGTCCCGGCAAATACGGTTTCGTGTCGGCTTTGGAATCGGTAGAGCAGGGCATTTGAAGGACACAGAATTTTCTCATGATGGGGTCACGGGTTGGAAACAGGAAACGGGACACCGCATTGCCAGATTGGGAGGAGTTTGTATAGGTAAAGTCTCAGACTTTGGACGAATGAGTTAGGCCAAGAAAAAGTAGTAAAGTATCCCTATCTCATGTGTTCGATCCAATTTTTGGCTATTTTCGAGTCCTATCTCATCTGCTTTCCGTACATTCTGCAATGCCCACAGTTTCCTATCTCATCTTCCCCTATTATATATATATATATAGATATTCATATAATATATCACGAAAGCCAGCCGATGGGCAAGGCTTGAGGTTGCTGGAGCCAAAGAAATGAGTAAAGGGCAAATTTCGGAGAGGTGAACCCAGAGCCTGGTGCGGGAGAGCGAAAAAAAGGAGGTGGGCCACTTGGTAGTGAAAACTGAGTGGTTTGAGGGGTGTTGTGATGCCGGTGATGTAATTGACGGCGTAGAGTGCATCATCAGCATCACAAGGGGCTCAGGAGACCATGGAAAGAGAACAGATTGTAGTTGCGGCTAAGCTTAGCGTTGCTGCCGGACTGAAGAGGGCACTCCCTATGCGGTGGGAGTTCACGTGGATTGGGCGTTGGAGGCGGAAGACGGCGGAAGGCTTTGAATTGCTGAGGGGTCCGTGGCAACGTCTAGTTGCTGGACTGAAAAGCCATCTGTTGAGGGTCTGCGAGAGAATTGGACTGAAGAGGGCACTCCATATATGCGGTGGGAGTTGACGTGGATTGGAGGGTTGTTGAGAGCAGAAGAGAGAAGAGATTGCGGGCAAGCGTTGGAAGGTTTTGAATTGCTTAGGGGTGCCCTTTTTTCTCTGTGGCAAGGTCTAGTTATTGTACTCAAAGTGGCACCCCATATGGGGTGCATGATGCCTTCTGTTGAGGGCCTGGCACCGCCTATGCGGTGGGAGTTCACGTGGATTGTGGGTCATGAGATGAGGGGTTCACGAGGCCATGGAAAGAGAACAGATGGCAGTTGCGGCCGAGCTTGTTGCTGCCGGACTGAAGAGGGGACTCCCTACGCGGTGGGAGTTCACGTGGATGGGGGGTTGTTGGGGGCAGGAGAGAGAAGAGATTGCAGCGGGCAACATGGGGGGTGCATGATGCCATCTGTTGAGGGCCTGCGAGAGAACTGAACTGAAGAGGGCACTCCCTATGTGGTGGGAGCACCCGGTGCCGGGGGGGTTTGACCCCTTACACACACATGTATATATATATATATATGTCCTCACGAAAGCCTGCCGATAGCCTCCCCCGCGACCATCTCTGGTCACTCATTACCAACACGCAGCCGACAAACTCACATAAAATCTTTGAGGGTGCCTTTTTCACCTCCAAAACACCCCTGATCCCGGACGAAAAGGGGCACCCCCCTTTTAATTCTACCGTCTGTTTCTACCTCCTATAGCGTACCTGCGATGCCAACTTCACCCCATAAACGTACTCTTTACATAATGTTAGCCTATCACTTCATTTTGCACACTCACGTCGCTCCAATATCAACCTCACCACTTCCGGCTACTCTTCTTTGTCCACTCTACCTACATACATACATATATATATATACACATATATATCCTCACCTACCCCGCCGTCTTTGCTCACTGATTCGCAACACGCCACCGGCAAGCGCGCATCACTTTCTTAGGGGTGCTGGGGTGCTCTTTTTCACCGCTAAATCGCCCCTTAACCGGAACGAAAAAGGGCACCCCCCAAACCTATGTCTTCTACTTTCCATGTCTTCTACTTTCCATTTCTACCCCCTATCAGTGTGGCCGCGATGTCAACTTCACCCCGTGAAATTAATCTTTGCCCGATGTTACCCCATCACTTCCTCTTGCATGCCAAGTCTTTGCCCGGGCCTGCCCTGAGGGCACCCCCTAAGCCAGAGGCTGGCTTTCGTCCCCTCCCTTCTCAGGTACACGCATATATATATATATATTATATATAAATATATATTGTTTTAAAATTCTTTTTGCTTGCCCACATTTCCTAGCACAATAGTGTAAGACCATCAGGCGATCAGATAATCAACGTTATACGCATTTGAGCAATTACAGGGACATACGACTCCTGACATTAAATTTGTCCTGCACGCTTCAAAGATGCTCCTGCATTTTTCGCTCGAGGAACGTGCCGCAATCAGTGCTTTGCTTCCAATTTCAGCGTTTTCCACGTTAGGATTTTCTGCGAGCTGGAGCAGAGCTGATTGGTGAACGTTTCACTAGAGGAAACACACTTGAGAATCAATTCTCGTTTTGTTTGAAACTGACATTTATCAAGGGAATTTTACCAAACCGATCCTTTATATACAGCATTATGAGGGTGCCGCGTGCCTGAACAATTTCATCCCGTTTGTATTTGGTTGTACGCTCTTTTCGCCGCCCATTGTCCATGTTTTTGGTGATCATGGGCGATGCTTTTCTGCGAGAGATGGTTGAGTCGCACTTAACAAGGCTGCACACACTACACATTTTCAGGTCAGAACGTGCAAATCTGTTGCACAGGTCAATTTCCAAATGAGGTCTTTGCATTTATTTACATCCTACTGGTCGGTGACAGTCTCCTTGTCGCGCTCCTGAACCTGGCTATCCCAACGGCCCAAATCATATTGGCCTTTGTGTCTAAGCAGCAGTTCTTGTGGTGCGGCCAGCAAACACAGACCCAACTGGTCTACCAACAGCTTGTGTGACGCTCAATGGCCATGCGAAATGCAGGGTTGAATTATCAGTTGGGCACCAAAAGTGTGCAGGTGCTGCTGTTGTTCGCCGAATATCCACACGCCAAGGATATCGACAGTGGATCCAGTGTAAATACCAATGGCCATGCAAACCACCAACATTTTGTAAAACAAATATTCGCAACTTATGACTTATGACAGGAAATTCTATTTTGGAGCCCCTCTATGGTTTGCCGGACGTGAAGGGTCACATTTTCTTGTGGAGGATTGCTCCACTGCCAGCATGCCGACACAGGGGTTCTTCAAGAATATTCGGCTTCTCGTTGCACCCAAGCTGGCCAAGCGGATTGATGATGCTTTCCACGACAAGGATTTGGTGCAAATCCAGCGGCTGAGAAAGGAGGCGGCGATTCTGCTGTCTTGCTGCCATGTGGTTTGTGAAAGTTTCATACAGATTCTCAGGGATTGTTGTCCTAGTTGGGAGTTGTTTGTTGGATAATTCTTGGGAGGTTTTCTTAAGTCTGTTTATTGGCTTTGCCGAGTGTTTGGCAGTGTGGCAGAGTGTTTGGATGTTTTTGGCCCTGTTTGTTGCTGCTTTGGGAGCGCTAGGTCAGATGCTACTGTACATACCGTCAGTAAATACGTCATCGAATTGAGCAATGGCTGCCCGGTATCAAGCCCCCGGCTCCGGCATCTGGCCTCATCAGCCATCTGGCTCCGGCATCTGCGCCTGGCCACTGCCAGCGGCCATTGGCCACTGGGCCCCGCGAACCAGCCTCCGGCTGCCACCGCCTGGCCACCACCGCACCCGCACACAGAACCACTCACTTGTGCGCACAAGTATTGAGGGGTGGGGGCCGGATATGGTGGGACGATGTAGATGGATCAAACATTTTGCTGTGTGTGTCCAGAAAAGTGCCTTGGATTGGAGTCCGATTGCAGTGGCTCCTTTTATCTGCTGCTTTCCACAAAAGGCGCCTCAGGTTGGAGCGGATCCTTGATTGCTTGAAATTTGCACTGGGTGGTCCAAAAGAGACCTTAGTGTTTGCTAGTTTTGACTTCATTTTTTGGCGGGCCACAGAAGGTGCTCGAATGGCAGAAAAGCAGCCATGGCCATGCGCTTCAAAGAATGCCTTGTGCTTACTTGCGGTCTTGATGGTATCCCCTCAAGCAAGCACTGCACGGTCTTGACACGGCCGTTTCTGTGCGGTTTCCAAAACGTTCTTCCAAGTGCCCCATCAGACCCGACAAGGCAAAGGGTCCAAACATGCGTGTGCAAGTGACTCGTTGCGTGACAGCCCTGTCGGTTGTGGCGTGTTTCCTGCGGGTCCTTGCGCATCTGCCTGGGGCCGGAGAGCCTTTGTTTTGGACACTTTGGTGACGAAAGTCAGTCTGTCAGTTAGGCTGAAGGGAAGTTAGTTTCTGCGAGCAAAGTGAGGTTTCCAGGAGGGTGTCACGGTGGCTGTACGGTTCCGGAGGCAATTTTCGGTGAGTTGGTGATGCAGACATTGCTAGTTTTTTGAGAGTTGCCGGTGCAGAAAATGATAGGGGCACCATCAGTGTTAGCATCAGGAAGGCCGATAGCGAGAACAATTTCACTACTCGCGAGAAGTAGCTGGGAAAGAAGGAAGGTATAATTTTCAGGTGCAACCGCACATTCCTCTGGCGGAGTGATGTTTAGGCTGCAATCGCACCCGGCCATGTTGTTTCACCAGCCAGTGGAAAGTACCCTACACATCCATGTGGGAAAGTTGAGGTGATGCGCAAGCATGCTTACCGCCCTCTAAACGCGCCAGGTTTCATGTAGTTTTGTCAACTGCGCATGGTGTCTCGGACCTGCGTACTCAAGTGTGCTGTCTTTTGTTCCTCCTTTCTCAGGCTGTGTTGATGCGATGCTCATCTTCTCAAGGGTTGAGTGAAGCAGACAAAGAGGTGTAAAGGACACGGTTGGCGTGTGCATCCAGATGACTGCAAAGGTCCCCCGGGATTGGATTTCCTAGCGGCATATGGGCGATTGGTAGTGATGTCGCTGACCGTTGAGAAACATATACAGCAAAGAAGAGCAGGAGTCCCAGGAGTGTATAAGAAAGCATTATATAGATGGAGCTTTCAAGAGCCAGCGAGGCGCAAGACGTGTTTCAACGGCTCATGAGCAGCTGGCTGGTCATTTTGGCTCTTGTGAGAAACAGCAATGACCAGTGCAGAACGAACAAGCAGCATTGAACAAGAGACTAACGCAAGTCTTTCGAAAGATTCTTGTAACATTGGCGTTGGTCCGTTTGGCTGGTCCTTTGCGAGATCAGACAAACACCTTTGACCTTTTGTGACTCATTGTAGATACTCCTGCAGGAGTAAGCAGTGTGCTGCCCAACAAAGCATCAGGTGACGATCTGCAACCCACCAGTGACGCTGGAGGCAGAGGCTCTCTGGTGCTGACGGGTTTCCAGACGCCATGGACAATGTCTTGTGGATGTATGACTACGGGACCTACACTTGGTTCCACGAGGCTCAAGAGCCAGAAAAGATTCAGATTTCGTGGTGTGTGCGGCACATCGCGGACGCCAAAGTCGTCTTGCAATTGGCGAGAAGTCTTGCAGGTTTCGTGATAGGCGCACTTCTTCGTGGACCACAATGTGCAGAGTTTAAGGCTGAAGGCAAGCGCAGCAATTCCTGCAGCCTTCATCGGCAGCAGAAGACGGAGCAAACAGCGCACATCTCAACGCAGCAGCAGCAGCCGCCGCAGCAGCCGCCGCCGCCGCCGCAGCCGCAGCCGCAGCCGCCGCCGCAGTCTCTAGTTTGCCTACAATGTATTTTTGCGTGCGCGGGGCAACGGCCAATGAGCTCATCCGCCTAACCACCTTGAGAGCTCACCCAGCGCACTTGCACAAGACCAAAGGCCCTTTAGAGACTCACGGCTAGGGACTCACCAAACAGGGCTAGACATGTGCCTCATCAGACGTATGGCGCTGGGCAGCGCCCTGTGTCTGCGTGGCAGATTGCTTGCTTCCAACAAGCATCCCATGCAGTTTCCCGTCATTGTTATGAATCTGTAGCCCGTCCTTTTGTTCTGGGCTATTTGCTTGATTACTGTAACCAACCATGCCGCTCTCTCAGTGGCTCATGTGTTCGCAATTTTCGTTCTTCTCAAGGCTCAAGTGACATCGATGCGGCAGCGTTGCGTCCACGGTGCGTACGCGATTGCCTCTTTCATGTGGGGGGATGCATTTTTGTGTCTGCTGCCGCAGTTTGCACTAACTGCCTTGAGCGGAAACAGAGGCGTTCGCCATGCGTCATGCGTCCCATCCAGTGCCAGTAACTGTTTGCACTGGTGGCCTCCTCCGGCCTCCTCTGGCATTCTTGATCAAGCAACCTCTTGTTGTCTCCGGCAGGATACTGTGTCCTTCATGCAGGTTTCGTTCTCGATATTGACCCCCATCCGGCCTGCCCCACGCTTCGACCTTTGGCCCCCACATTCAGCCGGGTGCAAACAAAAGGGTATGTTTTTTTCTCTTGGAGTGTGCAGTCGTTGGTCAATGCTCGATGAACGAAGACATGATAATCAATTCGTGTTCTTCAAAAGTCTTGAAGACAGTCGTTTATAGAGAGCAGTGTTTCTGAATGAGCACGGGCAGGCAGGGTTGGACTCTGATGCTGGGCTATTTGAAGAGGTTTGTGAACACAGCCACTCGCTTAGTCAAGTTTGTTTGTAGTCCACCTGTGAGAGCTGCTGGGTTTCTGAGACACGACGACGTTGTATTTTCGTTGTTGACTTGGGACAAGTTCCTCTTGGAACCGGCTCCTGTTGGCATTTGGGACTCCGAGGCAGAATGGTCGTGACTCTTATATCACTTTATCCATCCTTGTGTTGCTTTCATTCGCCCAGGTAAGCGTTTGCAGGGCTTCATCCCGAAGCTAGATGATGATGAGCTTGGTGACTATAGAAGGGTGTATGAAGCTCGGATGCGGGAATGTAACACGCGGGCTGGTGGGGCGCAGAAAGTACAACTTCGAGTTTCTTGTCCTAGTGAGTCAGTTTTGAACCTATACCATTAGTTTTTTGCTTGGAAAGCTTTTGGTTCGCTTTCCTTGTTTGGGAGGTGTCAATGACACTTCTTTTTTTGGGATCATGTCACACTGCATCACTTGCGCAACAAATCTAAGACTCCCAGATCAATTTCCCTGTCGCCCTGGCCACATTTTGAGGGAATTTGTTGATGTACTGACTGTATAGCTGCTGCCAATTTTCAACTTCTGATGTGTGGCGCCCCCCCAGCTAGCCATGTTTAGTTTAGGTGGCCTTGGCCTCCGCCCAGTACAGCGATCCTGTCTCTTTATGTTTTTGCACTGTTGGATTTTTTTGGTGAAAGGCCTTATGCTGAACCAACTCAGCTTGGCTTCACCGGTTCTCCTGCTTCCAACACCTCTATATGTTGTACATTGCAGTGACAACCAATGTGGTTTTGAGTCTGTTGCCTCAACATGTCATGAGTGCGAATGCCTTTTATTTTGGCACAAGCCTGTCGGGCGTTTTACGGTGGCCATAGATGTGAGTTGAACCATTTGATTCATTTCTATTCTTTGTGAGATAGACCAGTGTCTTCCCGCTTCCAGTGCAATCGACACTGGTAGCGGAGCCTGGACGAAAGGGCTTGGGAGAAGAGTGCATGGAAGCTGGAAGCGGCGTCTTTGTCAAGGTTGCCGACATGGAACGGAGACTGGAGTCAGTCCCGGCATATGTGATGAAGGTCTAATTGCAGGTAGACTCAGCTGCGTAGTGAGACTGGCGCAGCAGCCTTTCTCATTCAATACTTGAAGGAACAGCGTAGAAGAGACAAAGTGGATCTCCTCGGAGATTCGTTCCGTGACCTGTTTCAGAAGAGAGAAGTGCATCGCAGAGAAAATACGGTTATGTGAAGGAGGTTCAGGATGCGATGAGAGATCTGGATGAGAACAAGTCCATGCCCTCAGAGTTCGTTGGTTGGTTTCTATTGAATCTGTGTGTGCATCTCGAACCATCAGACGTTGCTACGATAAATGCCAAAGCTGAATCATATGAACTCACCAAGATTGAGAATGCCATCAATATGATGTGGTCAGGTGGGGGCCTAGATGAAGACCTGGAACAAGAACTTCATGGCTAGCGGCTATGGAGGAGAGACAGAGGACAGACTCATTTGATTTATGCTGAGCGAGAAGATCAGGTTGAAGAATAAGAGGAAGAAGACCCAGCCTGGTTTCAATTTGATGGCCTATAGCGGCAGCTGTTCTTGAAGATCCAGAGAATGAGCAGATGCTGACCACCTTCCAGGACGAAGAAGAGACTTCAGTACAGGGAAGCAGGAAAGATGCTGGCAAACTCTCGCGCCGTTCGAGACTATTATCCAGTGGACAAGCCCAAGTACACAAAGCCTTTCAATTGAGATGGGGAAATCAGAGGTATTTTCAATATTCTGTACAAAGGGATGGTCATTTTGACACCCACTCTGTGGTCTTCCATCCTTTCCATTGAGAGTATGGTGGGGCTGGCCCTACTCATCTGTCGGGCGTTTACCACTCACTGGCGGTGCAACACTCAGTACATGTCCGGGGATCTTCTGCCACAACTTCATGTGTCTTTCCACGGCTGCCCAGGACTTGCAAGATGAACATCATCAAATGAAAGCTGGGAGCCGGGAGCTCGTGCCAATTGCGCTTTGTGTTCCGTCATTTCCGCAAAATGAGCCCACCCTTTCTTGAAGCTCACTGTCGCATCATGGCTGTACAAGAAGCGAGATGAAAGAAGCTACATGAGCTTGCATAGTCGTTTCCCTACGTTGATCTTTGCTAGCTCAAGCGCGTCACGTTCCTCGCCTTTCCCACACACAAAGGACTTGTGCAAGGATCGATCCAATTCAATGTCCTTGCGGGCCCCAAACCCCAATCGCTTGTAGCGTTCGTAGAGCTCTTGCAGAGTGTTAACTCCGATGATTGTCTCTGAGGCACGGGAGTCAAGAATTCCACAAAAACTGGTTTCTTCAGAATTCATTGCGTAGATGGGTTCAAAGGGTTCATTGGCCATGGTCATACCAGGTATTTGGATGAATCGCCTTTCTTGCAAGCCAGGTGCACCTCTCCATTCGACCCGTCACGCAGAAAAGTCACGTTTCTTTGGCTTCTTCTGGGGGCAATCTCGGGCGCGATGACCATACTTGCCACATCGCATACAGTCACCGTGGAAAATGCTCTCGATGTCCTTTGTCAGAAGCATGTTGATTGCTTGAAGTGTGTACTCCTTGGGATCCCCTTTGTGTGAAAGTTTTGAGCAGGCTGGGGGAAAGACTAATTGTTTCGACTTGTCGACCAAGGAAGGGCTCAGGAAAAGTGTCCAGACGTGGAAGCACAAAGCCAAGGCGCTGTCTGATTCGCTCTCCAACCCAATCCTCCGAGAAGTCCATTTTTTCATCTTTCTCGTTATCAGTAGTCGTTCAAAGCAAGAGCATATCCTACCTTCTGATTTCTCCACTCTCTTTTGAGACCGTTCGCATTCACAGAACACAGTTTTTCTTTTTGGCAGGTGGAACTCCCAGCAAGTCGTCTTAACTTTCTACTGCGCCGCTCTGTCCGTCCCGAATCTTCCGGTCATGGTGATCGATCAGCCTTGAGAAGAACCGTCCGCTCTTTTTGCATGACTAGCATTTGTAAAGAAAAGAATCATAGGATCCTTGTAACGCTGTGAGAGAACTTTGATCCTACTTGAGCCTTGGTCCTTTGCAGTCTACAAAGCCTTTTGGCTTGCCAAATCTCCTTCACAGTGGCAGAGCCATTGTAGAGCCTCGAGCAGGGACCGACCAGTTGGACCAGTGGCTAACTCCCAAAAGATCCCATGATACCATCTGAACAAGATCTTGAAGACTTGAGCTGGGAGCGTGTGAGTGTGGGAACAGCAGATCACCCAACGCTCTTCAACCGAGTTGCTAACGAGCAAGGCCGTGTACGAGATGATTAGCTCATGAGGCAGCTAAAGAGAGAAAGCGTGCCATCATCATTGGACATGGAACGCAGGGACAAACGACGGAGGACCGGGCTTCAATAAGCAGGTGTGAACTATCTTTTGTGCGCAGGTCCTCGTGATGTGTACTGCAGAGAGAGAGAGAGGAAATTGCATTTGGACTGTGACCGCTACAGCCAAACGTGGTGCAGATGTCGATGTCCGTGAGAAAGAGTTTAATGAGGTTAAAGGGAAAACGAACCTTGCGTCAAACGTGTTGCTGTGGACATCTGCAACCTTCATGGCATTGACAGAAAGGGTTCTAGGTCTGCGGAGGGTGTTAGTTTGGAAACCAACGGCTGACGAGTCAGGATCACTTACCGGTCGGAAAGCGAAGGCGCGATTGATCATCTTCTTTGCGTTAGTCGGGATTCACCCAAGTTGTCAATAACAAGCAAGCCTGTTTGGCTGGGAACAGACGTCAAAACGGCCTTTTTAACGGAGACGACGCGGAACTTTCTCGAATGATCTTCGTGGACCCTTGAAGATGTGAAAATGCATCTTGGCAAGGCGAAGGTTTCAGCATCAGAAAAGCAACATACGGACTTGTGAACGCTCCAAGACAATTGTTGAACAAAATGGCCAAGGAACTTAGAAATCAAGGGTGGAAGCAGTGTGTTCTTGAACCTTGCATTTGGCGGGTTGTTTAGTGAAGGTCAACTGGTTGATCTGTTGGGTGTTCATGTGGATGATGCTTTTGTTTCTTTTCCTGGTCAGGCCTATGAAGCCAAAATCTCTGAACTGCGACAGACTTGGAAGAGTGAAAGAAGTTCAGGAATGCGCAAACACATACGACGAAGTTGAGCTTGTGAAATAGTGAAACATGTACTGTAATGCATGAGATCCTCCACGAACAAGGAATCAAGCCCAGAAATTCAGACGAATGCGTTGCAAGTATCCCGGTGGCAGTGGTTTGTGACGCCAAGAACCTGTACGACTCTGTCAAAAGGGTGCAAATGGAAGAGCCACGTTTGTGCTTGGACGTTTTGAACATCAAAGAAAGAGCTCCACGAACGCTGATTTGAAATGGATCAGTTTTAGGCAACAAAAGATCTGTCGATCTCACGAAAATGCTTGAAGTGGACAAACTGTTGGATATGACCCAAAGGTGTGGAGGTTTTGTTGGTATTTCTTGGAGTTCGACATTCTTTACAGCGAAAAGAAAGCGTCGGGAAAGAAGCAGTGCAAAGGAGTCAGACATGTTGAGAAAGAAAAACATCGATGTTGTTTTGAGTCTGTTGCCTCAACATGTCATGAGTGCGAATGCCGTATCATTTTTGGCACAAGCCTGTCGGGCGCTTTGCGGTGGCCATGGATGTGAGAAAAGTGTACACGCGGCTTTACATTTGGGGTGGCTGGAAAACCGGATCCCATTCTTTTGAAGCTGCGCAATTGAACCAACTGATTCATTTCTATCCCCTGTAAGATAGACCAGTGTACTCCTGCTTCCAGGGCATATGTGTCTGTCAAACTCGTAGTTGCTGTGAGCTGCACGAACTAAAGCCGAGACTCGAGAAATGTACCTACGAATGCTGGTTTATTTTCTTCTCAGCTTAGTTATCATAAATCCAGGGGACACTTGGATTTTTCTTTGTGACTGCCAATGCTGGCACGCTTGCAGGAAGCCTGGCAAAGATCCCGGTTCATCTTCCTTAACTGCTTCGATTCTATGACACACATCAAGAAAGAACTAGTCACTTTGCTGAAAGCTGGCTGAAAGCGAATGGGTGTGATCATCCCAATTGCTTTGGATTCTTTTTTATTTATTTGCGTGAACTTATGTGCTTGTATACTGTTTTTGGGTCCGGCAGGGTGCATGATCTTGTTGCATCTGTACTTGCAAAACATGAACCGTAAAAGACCACAGCCAACGCATGGTCTTCCAATGCGTTCCGTAAATCGGTTTAACGCGCAACGCTATATGCTTTTGTGATTCGGGGGTCGAGGCCCAATCTATTCCCTTCCCCCAGATTGCTTACTTTCTTGGTGTGCCATGATCACCGCATAGGGGTCCTCGAGATATATACTCCAGCGGGTGAAGCGTGTCCTCGCAGTGTCATGCAATGTCAGTGCTAACCAGAGAGTTTTCACCATAGAACGTTGCTAAGGCACTCGTTGAAGAGCTCAAGGGCAAGCAGCATACACACATACAGGCCGAGCGCGTCAAATCAAAGCTAGCTTAGCTTAAACAAATTTATCGCGGGCAGGGGTTGTTGGTTTTTGAGAAGGCCAAGAAAGCTCGTTGGAACTGACAGTCCAGCATGGCAAGGTATGGCAAACCATACCTTTTGGATGATCATTTTGCACCACAATGATCTTCAAAACGGCATCATAAACGCGGTCAAACATGTATTCTCCAGGAAAACAAGAGTGCCCATCGAAAGGTATGTTTGCACACACTGCAGAACGCTGAAAAACCATTAAAGGGTCAATTTTGTAGAATTGTGCATTTGCTGATGCTCAAGGTTGCTGTGGCTGCTAAAGAAGACAAATGGCATATACAAGCTTCAGGAAAGGTGCTTTCAAGATTTTGAAGTGCAGATCGTGGTATTGGTATGGCTGGGTTCACTTGGAGGGAAACATACCGAATCCTCCCAGAGCTCAACCGCGTTAAAATGCAACTATCCCTCTCTCACCATAGCTAGCACGAAGGAGCGAGTTTACCCACTCAGCTACCTCAGCGCCAGCTATCGCTTGGCTACGCGGTTTGTGTGGCGCAAAGCTGACCCACCTTCACTTGGGTGAATCTTCTGTCTTTAGCTAGCTGCCAGGTGGATCCAAATTTATCGATTTCATCAAACAGCCCACCCAAACTCAGTTGATTCACTGAATTCACCATTCATCTCATTGGAGACAGTTGACGGCCGTCAGGGCATCGTGGATATCGTCTCTTCTTTCCACCTGGAGGGGGTCACCACCCTCAAGAATCTTGGCTTCAGCAGAGTCTGGAGCAGTGATACTGGATACTGGCTTGGTTTTTTGCTTGCCTGGTTGCTCATGGCTGAGGATGAGCTCAAATGACATTACACCCGAGGGGTCATTAGCGCCTTGGCTTTTCAAAGTAGTTTGCGTTGATTCCCGAGCAAGATGTACTGCACTCTTGGATATGACGTGAAGACTCGATATGGCTCCAGTTTGCCGTGATGCGTTTGTTTGGCAGGCTCTGGCGAAAGGCTTGACAGCAAACAAATCCATAGAGAACCTTGACATGTCTGGCAACAAGATTGGAGCCGAGGGCACACAGGCTACGCAGCGGCTTGCTGTGTTGATCTCTGACTGCGCAACCAGTGTTGTCTACTGACATGTATGCACATGGCCGATTGCTTTGGCTTCAAGATAACTGTGCAACTTTCAGTTCAAACACCTAAATAGCATGTCTGGAACGGATGCACGGCCGGACTTTCACAGAAGAGCTCTCAAGTTCTGGTTTGCCTACAAGCTTTTGTTTATTCCCCAGATAGCTGCAGGCTGTAGGGGTTCTAACTTCTCAATGGTGTGGCTCTGGATTGGCGTTTTGGTTTTGCAGGGGCTGCTGCTGTGATGATGCTGGTGCAGGTGCAGGTGAGGGTCTGGATCGGCATTTTGGTTTTGCAGGGGCTGCTGCCGTGCTGATGCTGGTGCAGGTGCAGGTGCAGGCCCTGGATCGGCATTTTGGTTTTGCAGGCGCTGCTGCCTTGCTGATGCAGGCGCTGGCTCTGGATCGGCGTTTCGTTTTGCGGGCGTGGGATCAGCGTTTTGGTTTTGCGGGTGCTGCTGCCGTGCTGATGGATCGGGGTTTTGTTTTGCTGGTGCTGGTGCAGGCGCTGGCGCTGGATGAGCGTCTCGTTTTGCGGGTGCTGCAGCCGTGCTGGTGCTGGTGCTGGTGCTTTCGTTTTGCGGGCGCTGCTGCTGTGCTGGTGAGCTCGTGCTGGCGCTGGCTCTGGGTTGGCGTTTCGTTTTGCGGGTGCTGCTGCCGTGGTGCTGGTGCTGGATCGGCGTTTTGTTTGCCCGGCGCTGGTGCCGTGCTGGTGCTGGTGCAGGCGCTGGCTCTGGATCGGCGTTTCCTTTTGCGCCATGCCAGGGATGACGTCATGTCATACCAGGGATGACATCGCGTCATGCCAGGGAGGACATGCCATGCCAGGTGTCATGCCAGGGATGACATCATGTCATGCCCAGGATGACGTCATGTCATGCCCAGGATGACATCATGTCATGCCAGGGATGGCATCATGTCGTGCAAGGGCTGGCGTCATGCCACGCCATGTGAGATCGTGTCATGCAAGGGATGACGTCATGTCAGGCCCAGGGATGACATCAGGTCACGCCAGGGATGACATCATGTCACGCAAGGGCTGGCATCGTGTCATGCCAGGTGAGATCATGTCATGCAAGGGATGACGCCGTGTCATGCCAGGGACAACATCATGTTCTGCCAGGGCCGACGTTATGTGTTGTGAGGGACGACGTCGTTGTGTTTTGCAGCAATGATCATCACCTCGTCTGGGCAGCTTTGGCTTGTCTTTGCAGATCTTGCAGTCTTACGTCTGTGTTGGGCAAAGCGGGCACATTCAGCTGATAGATGTTGCGCATGTTGGTGGACTGGTTACATGTTGCGTGCTGCGGTGACAGCCGTCCGCGGCGTGTGCTTTGAACCTTTACACCTGCTATCTGGGTGTAATATGTGTTTGTGTTCAGCATGCGCCAATGAGACCTATATTTGCGAGGGTCTCAAAATTGGCTATACCGCCATACCTACCTACCTACCTAGCTAGACTTACCAAGCTACGAAGCCTTTGCAGATCAAACAAAATCAGCCACCATTTTCGATGTGTTTGTTTTGGCAGTAGACTTTGGGAGCGTGCCGTTTAAGGAACACCTGAGCTCAGGGAAACTTCGTGCCATACTTGTGAGCCCCTTTCAGCCTTGAAGTTGCCGCACGCTGCTGAAAGTCGCAATGGCTTTGCCTTTGTCCATGCAGCTGGCGCCATACACTTGCCCGAGGCCACTAGAACTTCTGCAAGTGCTCCTTGGACACTCAGCACTGACCAAGGACCGCCAGTTCACATTTCTCTCGAGCTTGAGAGGATTGGTGAGAAAAGATCTCGGTTGTGCTGCGGGTGATGCCACTGGCTTTGAAAGCAGCTACAAAGATGTCAGGGAGAAGGCTTTGGCCCATTATCAGAGGAGCACCGCTTCCTGGAAGACGCAAGGTCGAGTCTAGTCTATATCGTGACGTGGATATCGAGAACAGGCAGGAGAAGCAGTGGCAATGGCAGTTGACCGAGTTACAGGCAACAAGACAGGAGAGAAAGGAAAAAGGAAAGCCGAAAGGGGAACTTGGAAAAGGGACAAGTCGTCTTTGAAGGGAAAGGGCGGAAATGGAACGGACAGGCTGTTTGCAAGCTTTGTGGAGGGGCTACAAATAGCTATGAGGAATGAGGTCAGTGACAGATTAACCAGTGCAGCCCAGGAGACAAGCAACGCTGGGAGAGTGCTGGAGAACCTAGCCCGAAGTGCAAGGCAAGCCCAAACGCCAGAGCATCAACCTGCATGATCCAACCTAGGGAGTGAGCCAATGTGCGCACCGCGCCAGGCAGGTTCCTATAGTGACGCCGCATTGCGAGCCTCACTGTGCAAAACTAGACGAGATTGCCTGACGAGGCAAGTCAGAAAGTAGAAGTGTCCTGTGGTCTTCTTGTTTTGCGCATCAGGAGAGGCAGACATGCCATGGCCCGGCCAGCTACCGATGCAGAGATCCAGTCCAAAGTGGGATGTCGCACGGACTCACCATCTGTGGGGCGAAAAGGAGTTGGTTAAATTGAGTAGTGACACACGAAGCCGCAGGATCATCTTCGTGAAGTATGTGGGTTTGTCAGGGTTCACGACACTGTCATTGAATAGCTGCAGCTGTGAAATCGGAATATGATCACGGAAGGGGTGACTGTTCATGTCTGGTTGTGCTACACACAGGTTCACCGTGGATTATTAAGCATGTCTTCTTCAGTGAAGATGGACGCCAACGTGTCCAACCAGTGGTTGCTGATTTAGCGGAAGATGCGTGTGCCACCGGTCTTGGAAACAGATTTGTCGTGAAAGCGTCTTGCCACTCTATTTCGTTGCTGCAGTTGCGCCATACGCAAGAGTGTTTTGCCAGCCTTTAAAAACAAAAATATGCGCCGAGATGCGCCGAGAAATCCCGCCACTGAGATCCAAGTTCTTCAGGCCCTCATTTAGCGGGGTCTTCCAATTTTTGCATAGCGACGCAAGCTGCGAAGAGCAAATTCGCTCATCGGGCCACAGAGGCCGCCGAGTCGGCGCCAACAGCCATTGAGCTCGGGCGTAAGAAGGAACAGGTGAAGGAGGATGTGCCAAAAGCAGAGGGTAAGAAGTCAGAGCTAGACGTAGTCGATATCCAAACGACCGCTTGAAGCTCAACATGGTATAGAATTAGATGGACGTTTTGAGGATTTGATTCTGCAGAGTCAAGTGAGCATTTCCAATTAATGCTATTGTGCGCAGCAGATGTTGATTGGAATTGGGCGGGGCAGGTCGAGGTCTTGAACCTGAGTTGGTGGTGACACGCAAACTAAAGTGTTGCAGCTGTCGACTTCTTCCACGACTATGGCAATTCTGGAGTGCGAACGCCAGGTCATGGGCTCACTAGGTGAAAGTAGTGGAGATGTGGAAGAAGTAAGCCAAGGGCCTAGTCGTTGAAGGAGCAGAGGGACACACCAGACTGCAACAACAAACAGGTGCTCAGAAGGGTCGGCGGAACTCCAAGATCTCTCGTGACGGATCCAGAACTGTAGCAGAACAGCAGGCAGAATCTTGAACGGCTGATGCAGGCAACGAAGATGAGACGTTGCCAGCCGGAGCCCCCACGAGAGATAAGGAAAAAATAGGCCATCCAGGATAAGATGTCAGGAAATGCAGGGTGGACGGGTCGAGGTACGGCACCACAAAGCACACACCCGAGGATGTGTGTGAAGGAAGGCATGTACAGTCAAGACATGACCGCGTGACCAATCGCTCATAAGTGCACACAACTGGCGGAACATAGATACCTGGAGGTTGCATCCGTGCATCAGGGAAGTTTCATTCATGTTTTTTCAGGCAAGATGTGCAATATGTCCGCAGTGTTTGTATGAAGTTAAGTGGATTGGTTTTCTACACGCGGTTACTTGTTTTTGCCGATGTTTGTTGATTCAATCTTTATGGAGACGGCAAGCCTTCACATGTTTCCTAGATGCCAGGCCTTGTTGACTGCCCTTTGCGAGAATACCCTGCTATTTCTGGCGTTGTGTGGCAACGGTTTGGGCACTGGAGGAGCACAGGCCATGGGTGGCTGAGCGAACGTCTGAGTATGTCGAACCAGCAACAAACTTGCAATACAAGGCTTGACATGCGCTCCGCGTAAAAATCCACAAATTTTTTTGAACTTCATCGGGACATGTGTGGAGAGCGAGTAGGGTTGAAAATCAATCAACGGAGAAGGCAGGATGAGTAACAAAACAATTGCATGCGCAGACGGGTGCTCAGCAGTTTCGTGAAAAGGGTTATTGATAGTATATGTGTTTCCTTTTTTCCATAGCAACGTTTGGCTGTTCTTTTTGAACCATTGATTTTGCTTAACTCAACCCCTGCTGCTCTCGGAGTGCAGGCCGTGGCTGAATATCTGAAAAAGAAGAACACTATCAAAGTTTTACGTCTCGACAACAATGACTTTGCAGATGCAGGGTCGAAGGCGAGAATGAACCTCTTGTGTTCTTTGCAAGGTTGTAGAGGAACCTTTTATGTGTGTGCAATGTTGTCGATAGGTTCATGTCCGTAAGTTTTTTGCATGCAGCGGATGATGTTGTGTATCCTGCATTCACCATTTGCAAACAACGCGGTCGCCGTCGTGAAGATCCACGGGTGAGATCGGTTGCTGGCAATGTATTCCTTTCCATGTTGTTCCCAGTTGGTTCGGAGGCAAGTTACTACTACTTCAGGAATTTTTCACCCTGGGTTTTACCCTTGGGTGTAAACCATTGGATGGATCCATCCAAAACCTCCTACTCCTACGATGCAACCATTGTCTATCAGTATGAGGGCAGTTTGTTTGCCAGGTGTTGGCTGGAGCCCTCATAAGCAACGCATCGGTGACATCCCTCCATCTCCGAGGGAACAACATTGGCTCAGCTGGGATCCAGGCACGTCAGATAACACACACACATTCACTGAGTAGTGTCCAAGAAGGGTTTGCACTTTGCAGTTTGAAAACATGTCACTGTATGCAGTAAATTCGATGCAGATTTTCTTGTAAGTTCTACTTTGCCGCTCTGATATCTATATTCATGATGGGCATCAGCCAGCCACGCAGAGCTGAGAAAAGACGGTGTCATGTGATAGATCCATTTGCGTGCTATGCGCCCCAGCGTCCTGTGAGTTTTTGTTCTTCTAAAGCACCTTCTTGCCGAAGGAACAGCTTGAGTTGTTTGCATACTATGCATCCTGAATTGAGTTATGAGGAATTGTCTGAGATGCTGAAGAAGAATACGACGCTTGAGTCCTTTGACCTGAGAAACAACAAGATCGATGTAGAGTGCCTGGAGGTGGCCAGAAGGGATGTGTGGACGGAATCAGCAGATATAGTTGCTGATGCTTGTTGTTCCACGGATCTAGGCTTTGTGGTATTTCGGCTTTGCTCCCTTTTTTTGTTTTGAGTATGGAATTACAATGCTTCTTTGGAGCTTCATTTGCTTTGCCCTTGACTCAGACTTCAAGAGCAACATCCTCAATCACATCACGACCTCCTCTAGGGTGTTGAAATCCCCAAACTTACTTGGAATCAATTAGTGAACTAGTTTAAGCAATTGGGTGTCGACATACTGTAGGCTGAGGTTGGGGACTGCTTCGAGCCAGAACAAGACGTCGCACTGACCAGGGAACTCCTATGCGCCTACTGCTATGATATACTACTACGCATAGAATACAACAAGATATGAGGTCACTACTCTAAGTCATCCAATGTTTTGGTAACTTCTGTACAAGGTGCTCCTAGGTATGCTTCTTCTTCCTTTTCAATCATGTCTGCATTTTCAAGCAAAGGCACTTTGATGTGCTTTGCCTTGAGGCACTTTTCACGGTTTCTCCCAATCAACCAATGTGCGTTCAATCACTGGCTTCAGTTTCACAGGCACTGGCCAAAGCAATGTCCCAGAACGACAACATAAAGCAGCTCTACATCTTCGAAGCCAAGGCTTTTTCGAAGAGCAGCTGTTGTTGGTAGATTATAGTTGTTCTCATAAAATTGTTTGAATATTTGAATATTTGAACACCAAGCGTGACAATTTAGCTTTCAAGCGCAGGCCTCAATGAAGAGACAACCATCAGGGGTTTGCTCGATTGCTACTACATCGACTGCACGGTCTAGCCGCTCTATTGCTAGTTATAAAAGGAAACCCACCGCGGAGGACCAGGAGCTGATATTTGTTTGAGTGCAAGCAAGCAGATTTGGACACTTGATTATTGTCAAGAGCCGGCATGAGCAGCAGTTCCATGTGAGCATCGGATGAACCTTTTGCTGCCGGCCGCCATGTAAGCCCAAGCCATGCCTGCAAGTAAGCATCAGGTGAAATCGCTGCCTTGCGGTCGCTGTAGTCAGCTGGAGGGATCACGTTGTGCTCACAACTTTCCAGGTCAAGCCAGTCCCGCCACAGCTGAGTAACTGTCAGGGAAGATGTGGCCTCAAATCCAAACGATGGAGTCTTCAGCTGTCGTCTGAGTGGGAAGATGAAGGTCGCGCATACGCTTGTATTCATCCCACTCATCCTTTTGTGGTCCTTCAGTTGTTCCCTGGTCTTCTTGTGTCCACGCAGTAGCGAGCCTTTGCCTGTTGTCGTCTAGTTATCCTTCTTATCTTCCTAAAATGAAGGGTTGGTTGGGTGGGGGCATTTTGGGATTTGATACATGTAGGTTTTGAACTGATCTTGATGCCATTTCGGGAGTGGGTGTCCTTTTGGCCATGCCTGCTATCGCCTCTACGGACCTGGTTCATTGTTCATTGGAAGCCGGGGGCGAGGCGTTGGCGGCGAGGCCATAGAGGATTGGATCCTTTGGAACTCACTCAGGAGGAGAGACAACTATCATCGTGCAGTCAAGCGCAGGATCAGTATTTAGACTTCGGATGCTCACAGGGGGAAGCACAGTGGTGGGGAGCCTAGATGGGCTACACCTGAAGTTGAGTTCCAGAGCCTCAGTCAGTTGCGGCTTGTGAAGGATTTTTTGGTCGTGGAGATCAACCCGTCTTTGAACTTCTTGTGGCCGGTCATTCAATTCCAAGCATGACTTTTCAAGCTAGTCTGTGTGTTTTCTTCCACGACTGATGCCCAGTCTTGTTTTATAATTGTAGCATGGCAGGTACCCAGGCATATCTCCGGACTCTGTTCACTGTTCGCAGAAAAGAAGGAGTCTCTCTGTATACTCGCCGAGTTTACCTTCATGTTCCTTATCTTCCCAAAATGAATGGTTGGTTGGGCAGGGACATTTTGGGATTTGACACATGTAGGTCCTGATATTGGTGCCATTGGCTCACGTTCGGGAGTGGGTCTCCTTTCCCGGACCCACCTACGCTTGACGCCCTCTGCGAACCCTATAGGGTGTGGGGCCTAGTTGGGATTTAATACACACTCCTGAAGCGGGTGGTATGTTAAGTTCACCTGTGATGACTATGAAAGCTAGTCTGTGTGCATTCTACAACGATTGATGCCCAAGGTTATTTTTTAACACCTTCAAACTCCCTGTCCATGTCTCTAGTAGCGTGGCAGGTGCTCAAGCACATTTCCAGATTCTGTTCGCTGTTCGTGGGAAAGAAAGAGTCTCTCTTCTTGTCCTGCTGCCTTTGCTGTCCGCACCTCACCTGTCCATACTTGTTCGCGGCTGCTTGTACTCCTCTTTCCATGGTGGTTCCTAGCCTGTCTGCCATTTTTTTTTGTTGTTGTTGTTGTTCTCGTGTTATCGTTTTGTACCTAGACAGTTTACCGCGGCCAGTCTGTTGTTCTATGCTGTCCAGCGTGTTTTTTCCTTTGTACTTGTCCTTTGCTGTTGGCTGTGAAGCTTTTCTTCGATCTAGTTTAACACCTTGACCCCCCACAGCCTGCAGTGTTGATGAGCGATCTAGATCACGGTGGCCAAAGGCCTTCATTGAGAGACACCCGGATTTTCAGTGTTTGGTGGAAAGGCTGACCCTGGAACGCTAGTCCAGGAGGAGCCAGAATGTGGGGTGAAATCGAATGTTTGCGTTCGAGTTTAAGCAAGAACGGCCCATTAGATTGATGATGCCACGCGACTTACTGAACGGCGACTACATGATGCTTTGGTGTTGGATCAGGAGCCACTGAAGTGACTTGTCTATTGGAGAAGCTGGAAAGAAGCAAGTCCATCCTCTTTGGCAACTCTGGCTTGATGCTACTGAGGGCTGCCAAAAGTCATGGAACTCGGAACGAGCTGTGTTGTTGGCGAAAGGTGGGTCGCCATTCGCGTTTGGGTGACCATGATGCTTTCTGAAAGATTACAACAGGATAGGCCAGACCAGCCTGTGAGGAGGAAGTCTAGAAGGCCACGATGACAGGTTGTCTCTTTGAATGAACAACGATTTGGTTGGTGGAGTTTCTATATGTGATTTTCTTTTCCAGCCAACTGCAGTGCGAGGCTGGTGGTGCCCGGGCCAAGGGTGTAGAGTCGGTGCATGTATTGCAAAGAGTTAATGGAGCCATGACAACTTGAGTCCAAGATCTGCAGAATTAGTTTGGGGGTTTCTCAGCCCTTGCAATCAGTCGGGAGCTCTCTGCCTTGCAAAGGCTTCTAGCCAATGCAGATGTGCTTTACCCAAGAAGGAACCCGCCCGCACCGAAGGTGCCGAGGCATTGTGGATGTTTCGCGTAAACCGCAAGGATGCTGCTGGATTCTAAATCGTAAGCTTTAGCTTCGGGGGGAAGGGCATTTATAGATAGGACATTGTGGCTTTATGAGGCTTTTTGATGCTTTTTGAAGATGGATATAGATTGAAGCGGCTTCGGACCAAACGTTCGCGATGTCGGCTTCGCTGTTCGGGGAAGACCGCATTATTGACATCGTGGGCTTGTTCCTGCCCGACCGAGACAGACAGACTGAGACAGACCGCGAGACAGATAGACGCACACATTCCGTGCGGGCGGCTTCGAGCGCGAAGCGCTGTGAATAGTGGCCTGACTGCCAACCGCCGCCTGCTTAGGTTCCAAGCAAGCATCTCTCGCAATGACAATCCCCGACCCTTCAAGCTTCATGCGGCGGACCGCAAACGCGGGCCTTTTGTCTGGAAATTAGGAAGGAAACTTGGGTTTATGTTTGGTGCCGTCCTTTTCATGTCTGTGATGTTGGGCAGATACAAGAGGATTGCCTTTGATGGCGCTACGTCCACACAGCCACGGTTGCGAAGATGTCTGTGACAAGGTTGGCAAAGCGCGCTACCTTCTTCAAATACCTCAGTGCGTCGGACAGCCGCGGAGGATATGATAGCCGATGTTGGTATGCAAGATATGGACCTGTCAGTGGTCCACCACGTTCAACCCTGCTGTCGGGAAATTGGGAAACAGTCCAGGAAGAAGACTTCTAATTCTGGTCCAGGGCCGCGCTTGAATGCGAAGACTGTTTCTGTGTGAAGCAGCTTCGCAAGGGCTTGCCCGCTTCATTGGTGCCAGTGGGGGGCAGAATAAAGGGCGCTTCACAGATGTCGGATGTGCCTGCAAAGCTTGCGTTGATTGTCAGAACTTAAAAGTAATACATATGAATGCGTGGGGAGAGATGGCCTCACCAGCAGTTTCACGTGAACCTTTTTCTGACCGGCCACCTCCTAGGCCCAAGCCGGCACTTTCGGCTACTCCTTGGGTCGTTAGCTTTGCTTTGCGTATTTTGTTCCGCAATGACAATTGGCAAACGGTTCATGTGCAATGTTTTTAAAACCGTTAGGTTTGTCCTTTGTGCTGGCTTCATCCTGGCAGTAGAGCCGGCTAGACGTTTTCCATGATGGGTTCTTGTTCCAGCCTAAGTGCAGGCCAAAAGAGTTCCTGCAGGTCAACCCAACCATCCTGACAAGGGGCGCTGGCTGATTTCAAAAAGATACAACAAATCATGGGAAGCGTAGCCACCACTGCCACCACTAAACACAATTGCCAGCAGGCCCTTGAGTATTTCAACAGGGACCACAATGGCGCATCAAATGTCGATCTTCAAAACACATGGTCTTTACTGCAAACTCTTCTGAGAGCAACTGTTTATGGTCAAGTTCCTTGTTCTTTCAGTCCTAACTCTATTGACCCACAGCTCTTCAAGCGCAGGAGACGATGCAAAAACGGTTTGCGCAATGGTTTTCCAATACTTTTACCTGGACTTCCACCATTGGCACGAAAGGCACCGGCGAGGATGTCGCGCAGGAGCATTTGTTTGGGTGATGAGTGGGACTTCATATTGACAAGGGTTGTAACACCGTTGCGCAACCCTTCCAAAATCTTTTCAAAACCGTTTGATTTTCTGCAGTGCTGAGCCCTGAAGACGCATTGGCGCTTGGTGCACTCAATGTTGCCTTTTGATTCCTCGAATCGGACTCCATCATGGGTTCTTCTTCACACCCAAGTTGAGGACAAAAAACTCCTGTACATCAACCCTATCATCCTGCTATGGGCCGCCGGCAGATTTCCTCAAGATACACGAAATTCATGGGAAAGGTGGCCACCAAAAACAATTGCCAGCAGGCCCTTGAGTGTTTCAACAGGGATCCCAATGGCGCATCAAGTGTCGATGTTCAGAGAACACATTTCTGTCTTTTACTGCAAGCCCTTCTAAAAGCAGCTGTTTTTGGCCAAGTTCCTTGTTCTTTCAGACCAAATTTTAGCTGTTTAGCCCACAACTCTGAGAAAGCGCAGGACTCTGAGAAAGAGCCAGTGGAGGAGGCGGAGGTGCAAGCGGAATGTGTTGACTACTTCACAAGAATGGTTCGGACACCAAATACACCATTTTTTGTTCCGAAATCTTTTCACAGAATGGGGACTAGTTTCATGGTATCTCTCATAGTTTCTATTTTCTGCCAGATAGACCGGCAAAGAAGGTGCGATAGTTTTGCGGTAGATGCACCACTCCTGCCCTTTTTGCAAGCAGTGAAAGCGAAACCACTCCTCACCTTTTTGGCAGAACGTGGTCAAATTCCTGCGCTGCTGCGGCCAGCAATGGCCGGAGGCATGGGTTATCCGACCGTGGGCCAAAACTGAAGCCCCTGGTAGGTGAACATCCCCAGTGACTATGTGACTATTCTGTTCATTGTTTGGAGCTTCACTACAGGTAGGGGTGGGGGCATTTGACCCACAACCTTTGAACATGTGGAGCTCTTGATCGTGCCACCTATGGATGCACCGCTGTTTTTTTTTGTAATTCAGCCCATCGAACAAGCTCTGTGCTACTGGCTTTCAGCTGCTTCAAAAACAATATATAATACAGTAAGACTCAGTAAGATGTTCCTGTTTTTGCAACGAGCATCCTGTGAGCTTTTGGAAGATCCGAAAAAAAAAAAAAAAAAACATTCTGCAGGGATTTACGGTATTTATGTGGCATCTAAACATTTTGGGAGTGCACCACGCTTCTCAGCAACATCTCGAACAGGACGGTTTGAAGCTGGATGAAGTTTTCTTGAAGACTGTTCAAGCCATCGAGGGCCAGGACAGGGGCGATAGCCCCTTCATCTCTTTCTTCACACTAAAAATATTCCACGTCACTGTCCGCCACCGCACTTGAAATCTTTTTCATTTCGTGGACATACGAGCAATGCAGCGCCTGAAGAAAGCGTCTTTACTACTTTACCCTTTTGCTTCTGGTATAGGCGATGACCGCAATTGAAGGAGTCCGCAGAGGGGACGTCGCGGATGTCGAAGATGCTACGCAAGCTGAGCGAGGTCATCATAAATCAGAACTTGCGTTTGTATTTGCATCACTGGACTAACTGTTCCAGCAGTGCTTGGACAGAGTGTTTGAATGTGCACGACATGTGTAGCTACAGACCCAAAGTTCGCCCCGGTATTACATTGAACCATCAAGTGCATTCCACTTTGCAAATTGCCAAGGGGTGCCTTTGTCGGGATGTCTGTTCAGGAGCAGCGGACCTTGGTCCTGGCTCACATGCTCCTTGGAGATGAAGAAGCCAAGGCCCAGGGCCGCCTTATGTGCTCTGCTTTTTCGTGTGTTGATGGGTTTTCCCACTTAAGCTGCAGCTGGGAAGGTCCAGCTGATTCAATGAGCAGATCAACCTTGGCATGATTCTTGTAATTTTGTCGATAGTCCCCTATGAACTACCTTGGCCGGTAAATTTAGAAGCCTTCAATTTCCAACACAGAGCCAAGACTAAGTCCTTCAGTGTCATGTTGTGTTGCCAGGAGTGTTTGCATATGTTGGAGTCTTTTCCCACCAGTGAAGCTTAAGGGCCTTCAGCCATAGTGAAGACTTCGGAGGAGATGGAAGCAGCTTCCGGAGCAGGTTCTGGAGCAGGGTCGGGGTCGGCGCAGGTTCCGGAGCAAGTGCGGGAGCTGGTTCCAGAACAGGTTCCAAACGAAGTTCCAGGACTTCGAGCCAGTGTCTGCTCCAACTTCCCAAGTTCCGAGTTCCAGACTAAGCTTCGCAGCAACTCTGCAGATATGCTGACATGGTGTTCCGCGGACATTGTCATGGGGTGGTGCTGACGTGCCGGCATGCTGGCACGCAATCATGGTGAGACAACACATCACTCCGTCAGGCTACAGTGCTTGCATGGCGTGCGCTGTCACGTTGACATTGTCATGCTAACTTGAAAAGATTCCGTCATGCTGACATGCCGTTCGTGCTGACGTGCGAACATGTTTTCGTGCTGACGCGCTGAGTTGCTGTCACGACGATATGCTCCCTTTCATGGGGATGTGGCGCTGACATGTTGTCGTGCTGGCGGGCTGACACTGGTCATGCTAACATGCTAACGCTGGCAGGCTGCAGAGCAGGTTCGGGAGTGGATTCCGTGATTGTTCTTGTTTGTTGCAGCGCTGTCATGTTTGTGCGTATGTCGTCATATGTGGGTACACATGTTGCCATGTGGTGAACCTTGCACGGCGCATTGCAAAGGGCCACCTCCTAGACGAATTCATGTCCAACTGCTCTTGGGCTTATTTTTCTTGTTGTTGATGGACAGATGTGGCACTTGGACACAAATATTCCGAGATCTGTTGTGCCAAGTGCTGATCACACAGTGCGCCGCAGGAGCTGGCTCAGGCCGTGGGCGGACTGCTCAAACTCAGCAAGGTTCAAGTCATCAACCTCTATGGGAACGGTGATATTGGATTTCGTGGCCTCCAGGCGCCATATGCCTCACTCAAGAAACTCAAAGACGATAGCAATATGATTGACATGCCTGAAATGAGAGGCCTTACGCATCCAAGTGTTCTAGACAAAAGCACTTGGGGAGTTACTGTAGATGACAATGATTTGAACTTTGGTGCTTCTGCAGCTACAGTGGAGCAGTCAATCGCACATTGCAAAATTTGCATGTGGGAGCTGGGCGGAGTCGGAGTGTTGATAGATCATACCTTACCCTTCCCTTATTTGCATAGTTTTTCTCAAACTGACGTTCACCTTGGCTTATCTCCTTGTAGGTTGAGTGAACATTTGTGAACATTTGTACTACTGTAGTGTGTGACACTTGAGATTGCTCATGATTTTTGCTCATGATTTTTTATATTTCATGACTTGCTTGGTGTAACAATTTTTGTGGTTGACGGTTGCAAACACTTTCTTACTGTTCGTGACATTCGGGAAGGTGATCCGATGATCCAGAGTTTCGATTTTTGGTGCGTTCTTGGGAGCGCTGGAAACCAGCAACAGGCATTGGCCAAGGCAGTGTCCAACAACAACGACATAAAGAAGCTCTACATCTTCAGGGAAGCCAAGGCTCGATGGCGACACCAAGCACCATTGACACGGTTGTTCAATAGGAATCTTTGTGCTTGTTGGGTGAATGTGCGTGCTTCCTCCGAAGAAATTGGTTGAATGTTTGAAAAACCCTGCAAAGTGACCATTTGCAGCCTTTCAAGCTCAGGACAGCCATGGCCAACCTTCCCCCAACGTCGGTGAGGTTGTTTCGGAGGAGCTTCTATTTGTTTGGGTGAGCTGGCAGGTTTGGAGAATTGATAACATTGACAATGTTGCGCTTGGACATTTGACAGTAGAAGGATGGTGACAGGCAAGTTTGTGAGTAAGATGCTTGCTGATTCATATGATAGCGCTTCCATGTTTCCGACTTATTCGGGTCGCTTCGTGACGACAACCGCCCGCACCAGTGGCTATCAGAGAGAGGGTACCTTTTTCTATAACCACTCTCTATTTTTGGACCCTCTGACAATTGTTTAGTTAAGTATGTTAAGTTATGTCTTACTTGCAATTCGCAACTATGGTTGGGTCTATTGATCGACCCCCTTGAAATTGTACATTTTCAAGGGGGTCGAAAAATATTGTGCTTATGCACAGCAGAATAAGCAATGTGCTTGGTCGAGACAAAATTTGGAGATGAACGCAGTGTGAAGTGGATTAACAGAGTCAAAGAAGTGTCTACAATCATTCTTTTTGGACCCTCTTACAAATTGTTTAACCCATGTCTTACTTGCAGCTTGCAAGCATCGTTGGATACATTTTTCAACACAATGCCTGCAAATTAACATATTTTGGACATCTGAAAACTGTATATGTTCAAGGAGGTCGAAAAACAGAGTGATTATGTACAATAAAGTATACAAGGTGCATGAACGAGACAAGATTTTGAGATGAACGCAGCGTGAAGTGGACGCATGAAACTCAATAAGTCTCTATGATCACTCTATTTTTGCACCCTCTTGCACATTGTTGGATATATTTTTCGACTCACTTGAAACTGTACATTTTTTCAGTGTGTCCAAGTTATACTAATTTGCAGGCATTTTGTTCAATAAACTATACAGTTGGAACCAGCTGACGCATATGCAGAAGAAAATATACAGTTGCAACTAGCTGATGCATATGATGCAGTCATGAAAGATATATAACGACATAGATTGTTCAAAGGAATCGTTTATTTTTGCTTGTCATGGACCCCGTGATGCAAATGATACCATGACTCAAGAGAAATATAGTAAGACGTCAGACATACACTATATCATATATCAAAACCGCCGGGCTTACTTTGAGACAGTGCGTGTTTCTCGGGTGGTCCTGAAGTAATTGTATTGTTCACGATCTTAAGTAAACCATAAGCATTCTTCCTGGTTTCCCTGCTTGAAGAGCGAGCCGCCGAGCGAAACTCTTGCCTGAAAAAGTTTCTGTCTCCCTACTGGCCGCGTGTCGTTTGAGCCAGTGAGAGCTTCTGCCCACTGTGCGTAGAGCTTTCGCCCATGCTGCATCACATCTTTACAAGATGTCCGAAGCTACCACTGGTAGACATAGCACCGCAACAAACCGTTGACTTCACCTTCTCGTGCAGTGAGTGGCTTCGGCGCCCACCGCTTTCATCAGCCCACATTTAATCCACAAAGCCAGTATTGACCTGGATCTCACCATATCCGTCCTAAAACTTATTTTATGCAAAGTATATACAACTCCTGACGGTTTTTTTGAGGCACATGTGCGCCCAAGACAACACACATGCAAGCAACTTGCCAACCCCCCACCCCCCTTAGATACGCATAAGTGCGCAATGCAACACGCCTGCAAGCATTTTGCCGGCCGCGTGCAAGCATTTTGCCGGCCGCCCGACCCCTCCTTGAGATACACATGAGTGCGTGAGAAGAAACGCATGCAAGCATTTTTGCCCACCCCCCGAACCCCCTCTGCAGACGCAAAAAATAGGACAGTTCTGAAGTCAAAATTCCACTGTGTTCTATGGAAAAGCGACAAAACAAGGCGCTAACAAAACGTGTCTTTTTCGTGTCGCTTTTCGGAAAATCGACATTGAACAACCAGATAAAACACATATACTGTATAAGTACACGTGATGCATTTCGATCCACTGCCTTAAGTAAACTTGTCTGGATACAAAAACTGAGCGTTTTGCTTTATTTTCTCCCATTCCAACTCCTCTCCCAGATACATACAGCTTAGGCATTTTTGTTCCCCAACGAAAGGCCTCTTAGCTAAAGCTATATAGCGATGAATGTGCTACTGACAGTTTAACGTCTCAGCACCGTCAGTGCGGGCGGACTTGTCAATGTCGCTTCAGGGGCGCAATGATGCTCAAAAACGCCTGCAGCAATTCATTCACCACCGGACACGATCGGGGGTAGTTGGACAGTCAGCGGATTGTAATGATCTCTGCGGCTGCACTTCTTGCCACCGCACATATCACCACCGGCACCACCGGCACCACCACCGGCACCACCACCGGCACCACCACCGGCACCACCGGCACCACCACCGACACCACCACCGGCACCACCACCGGCACCACCACCACCGGCACCACCACCACCGGCACCACCACCACCGGCACCACCGGCACCGGCACCACCACCAACAACACCAACACCAACACCACCAACACCAACACCACCACCAACAACACCACCACCAACAACACCAACACCAACAACACCAACACCACCACCAACACCAACACCACCACCACCACCAGCACCACCACCACCACCACCAACACCACCAACACCACCAACACCACCAACACCACCAACACCACCAACAACAACACCAACACCACCACCACCACCACCAACACCACCACCACCACCACCACCACCACCAACAACAACAACAACAACAACAACACCAACACCAACACCAACACCAACACCAACACCAACATCAACACCAACACCAACACCAACACCAACACAACAATCAACTATGAGGCTTTGAGAGCTTGAGTGACACAAGGAAGAATACGTGTTCTTAAAAGAACTTGTTCAAACTATGCCCACACCCACGCCCGACGCACGCAACGAAGCACGCCGGGCGAACCTTTTCGCGCTTGAGCCAGTCAAACATCATGTGGATTTGTGCGTGTTCTCGATTGGGGTGGAAACACAAAGGAATTACACCAGCATAGACCCAGATAGCTAGGCAGAATCCCACGACCTGTTGACATGCGACTGGCTAGAACAAGAGTGTACGCGGCCTGCACAGCCAACTTACTGCACCTCCACAGGGCGCACAATCAGCTGACACCAGCACTGGTGCGGCAGCGGCGCCAGCGCCAGACCATCGCCGCCGCCCGTTTTAAACGCGCGCTCAGCCAGCTCACAGCACTAGCGCCCAGGACCACAACACCAGCACCAGCACCGACGCCCTTTCGAAAGCGCGCGCAGCCAGCTCATTCGATTTGCAGCAATACCATAGCTATCCCTAATTGGCGAATAACTAAGTTTATGCACACAAAAGTGTGCGCGCAAACAGCAAGGCCCGTAAGTGTCATTGGCCCAAGGCCAAGCAGTATCCAGCGCCACTATTGACTTTGTAGCATGCTTGAAGCAACGATCTGCAGAACGATAAGGCAGTATGATCTTGCGCGTATAAGTTTATGCGCGCAAAAGTATGCGCACAAACGGCAAAGCCCGTAGGCTTCACTCGCCCAAGGCCAAGCAGTATCCAGCACGACTATTGTGTGTGTGTAGCATGCTGAAACATGCTGAAACAATGGTCGGTTGAGAGCCCGACGTTGCGCATAGAACGTTATACGCGCCGCAACAGTACAGCCCTTGACACAGCTGTCGGCCAAAACAGAACCTGAAGAGTGTAAATACCCCACAAATAGACAAAGAACGCTCAAGCGACAACACCGTATGATGTTGCGCGCATAAGTTCACGCGGCCCATGACTGCTGGCACTTCATTGTGAGAAGCGGCGCTTGGTCGCCCTTCTGCTGCAAGCGGCGGATTGTTACCCTTCACTGTCAGAAGCGGCGGTTGTTATCACTTCACTGTCGGCACCCTGTCTCCACCACGCGCGCAGCCAGCGCCCAGCACCGGCGCCCAGTCTCCACCACGCGAACTGCCTGCTCACAGCACCGACGCCGGCGCCCGCTGTCTACGCGCACTGCCAGCGCCCAGCGCCGGCACTTTGTCTCCACCACGCACGCAGCCAGCTCACAGCGCCCAGCGCCAGCACCACAGCCAGCAGTACCGGCACCCTGTCTCGAAAGCGCGCGCAGCCAGCTCATTGTCGTTTGAAATAACAAGAACCCCATAGCTGTCTGCAGAACAAAAAGTCCCCTCCACCAGGCGCACAGCCAGCGCCCAGCGCCCGGCACCCTGTCTCCACCACGCGCACAGCCAGCAACCAGCACCAGTGCCGGCACCCAGCTCACAGCACCAGCGCCCCCGGCACCCAGCACCGCCACCCCGTCTCCACCACGCGCAGCCAGCTCACAGCGCCAGCACCAGCGCCGGCACCCTGTCTCCACAGCCAGCCGGCACCCTGTCTCTACCCCAGCACCAGCACCGGCACCCAGCACCGGCAACCTGTCTCGAAAGCGCGCGCGGGCAACTCATTGTTGTTTGAATGAAGTAAGAACCCCATAGCTTCGCTATCTGGGGAAAAGCCGGGCCAAAAGTGGTCTGTCGACCACGGCTTCTGTGATCAGATTCTACATTGGATTGCGTGACTTTGGAACAAGGTGGATAGAGAGTGAAACTGATGGCGACTAAAGCTCACACAGCCGCCAACACCACCACAACGTTGTATCAGCCTGTCCCTTCAGGGTCCTGCCAGCGGTTCGAGTCTTGTCTCACCAATGTCCATCTAGTCCCTTGCAGTGACCGTGAAATCTGGATGAATTGACAGTGTTTCATGTCACCCTCACAATCAGAGCGGAGTCCGATCAGACCTTGGCTCGTCCAAGTGTGGATCATTCAGGACAGGCTGGTGGCATTTATGAGACAATGCGGCAGAGCATTGCTACAGGGCCAATGCAAGTCTGTCAAGACTGGCACGAATAGCTCCTGGGTTTTGGTGAGTATATAGTTGCTTGAAGAAATGCCGTGCTTGATGTTTTCGTGTGATTGGACCTTGACATCGCCAATCTCCAGTAGGATCCAACATGATACGGCTGTTGGCATAGAAAGGTGACAAGTGCACAGTCTTGTTTCTCTTGATTTGCTGGTTCCAACGCCTACCAAGGCGTTGTGCCTCGGCGAAGCCGACTCTCACAGACTTCAATGACTGCAAATGGGGAGGGCTGCTCGATCTCTCGCTGGGCTGTGAATGGTTGGTAATGAAGTGTGGTTTCATCTCATGGAAGATATCCCAGCATCCTTGTTCGAGCATGTACTGATGACTGGTGCTGGTGGTGGAACTAAGTTGTTGGTCCGAAGTTGAATGAAAGACATCCTCCGAGCAACACCGCTGAAGGTAGGAACACATCCTGAAGTTCTTTGTTGTGCCGGAGTTTGAAGTGCTAGGCAGTGGTGGGTGCAAGAATTCATTCATCTGCCAGGGAGCATCACGGATTTTGATAAAGCTTGGCGGATATAAACGATATCGCTGCCACTGCTCTCTCAATTCCTTTCAGGACTAGGACTTTCTCGAATGGCTCACAGGTGATTGCACGAGTTTCATTTGGAACCCGCACAAATCCCTCCTGTTCGTGCAAAACGCTGTCCAAGTGGCTAGCCTGTAAAAGAATCGCATAGGACCGACCCCAACATTGCATGTGCCTATTCAACCATCATCCATGTTGTTAGATTCTTCCATCAAGGCCAGGATGCAGTCAAACAACTCAGAAATTCCCTTAGACACCTGGATTTGCCGCCTGACACGCTTGCACGGAAACTTGTCCATGCCTGCTGTACGCTGCATCTTACTATCAGCAATGATCGGGCCATTTCCACATCTCTTCAACACATTGCAAGAGATCCACGTTACAAGCGCACAAACCTAGGGGCTCGCAGATCTTGTCTTGAGTACCTCCCTCTTTGGATTGCATAATGCCAAAGATGCAGAGCAAGTGTTTTGTAACCGATATATATATATATAATGCATCCTTGTTGGATATGTTCTCCCATGTTCTCCCCAATGACCGCGTGGCCAACACATGCAGACTTTGCAGCTTGCTGCTGTAAGAAATCAATGCCTCACCACCTCACCTCATCCATGAATGCACCACATTACATCACAATTTTTGAACGCCCATTCCTTGTTGAGAAGGTTACAACGTCAGCATGATGGGCCAGGTTGAACAACTCAGTTCATTGCAAACGAAAGGAAGTTTGGTTATCACGAGCTTACTTCAAAGTTCAAGCTTGTATCTCTTACAGAAGTCAAAATGCATAAGGCGAGAAAATTCATTATTTGCGAGGACGGCGCCATAGTAGCTTTAGCTTCTGAACAGACGCTATCAGAAAGTCAAAACTATCAACAAGCTAGAGGAATTCACGAAGGGTCAGTAAAGCTTGCACGAAATAAATCAATGTTGAACATTAATTTCATCAATATATTAATTCCGATAATGATAAGATAAGACATCATTTGGATTTGCTTCTGAAAAACCAAGTAGGTTTCCACAGGCTTTAAGCTAACAGCTACAACCATATTCCACTTCAAGAGTACGCCCCTGGGCGAGAAGCTGCAAATTTCAGAGGCTTACAAGCTTGATGAGCTGAAATCAAGCTTTAACATCACAACAACTGTATATAGATATCTATGGGACTTAATGTAATTGACCAGAATCACTTATAGATCAATCAGAACTAGATCCCTTCGTAGACAAAGCTTAGAAAAAGGTCCTGTAACATATGATGAGTTCGATAAAGCCTGTACAAGCCAGGGGCAGTCCTTCCATTCTTTGGCATGAGTCATAGTATGGAGGTTCTTCGGTGACTTTGCCAGCCTACTTGATGACTCGTTTGTACCGTTGCAGCCAAGGCTTGATTCTGGGTGATGTGTTCTCAAAGGTCATTCAAGCTATCGAGAGCCAGGACAGGGTGATAGCCGCGTCGCTCTTGCTTCACACCATCAACTGAGCTGCCAAAGAACCTCCTGAACATGCAGCAGAACCAAGAGTTCTTCTGGTCTGATCTGCGTTTTCTCCGCCCTTCACCAGGAGGCATCTGCTGTGCAGCAAGCGCCCTGTAACAATGCCGTTCGCTTCACTGACACCAGCGATCCGATGCGGAAGGTGCGGTGGAGAGAGGTGGTGTCGGAGGGCACACTTCCGAGCCGGGGGGATCCATATTTCCTTGAAACAAGTTAGCCAAAGAACTACAGGGAGTTCCCAACCGCTTGCTAGTATGGGAATTGTTTTGAAACAGGGAGACATATCACTGCCTTCTCCGTCACTGCACTTGAAATCTTTATGTTGCGCGGACATGCGAGCAAACTAGCGCCTGAATATATACATATATATATATAAGTATTTCTTTTTACTCTATATCTTATTGGATATCGTATAGGTGATGACTGCAATTGAAGGAGTCCGAAGTGAGGACGCCGCAGATGTCGAAGATGCTACGCAAGCTGAGCGAGGTCATCATAAATCAGGACTTGCGTTTGTATTTGCATCACTGGACTAACTTTTCCAGCAGTGCTTGGACAGACTGCACTCATTCTTTGAATGTGCACGAAATGTGTAGCTACAGACCCAAAGTTCGCTGTGGAGATGCTATGTGCTCTGTGCATGACCATTGTGAACCAGGTTGCCTAGGGAATCCCACCATGTGAATGCCTAACGTGCGTGTGTGTCTGTGTGCGTGCAACCCTTGGAAGCATAGGAGTCTTTTGGCTGTTGTCTTGTCTTGAATGCAGGGGAGTGCGGCATGATTGTGGGACCGCACTCAACGAAGCTACCACATTCATGGGATACCGAGTCTGACCAACTGTCCCTGATGACTGATGGTGTGAATGTTTTAGCAACTCTCCACTTTTACAGGCTGTTGCAGGATGGTTCAGGTCTGCACATGCGAGCGCTCGACTTCGGTTTAAAGGACCTGTGACATTCAGATCGTACGTGCTTTGTTCTGTGTGTGTGCGTGGGGGCGGGCGGGCGTGTGTGAGTGTTTCACAATTTGCAAACATGCCGACAAGCACTGAAGGCCCGCCCGCGTAGCGGATTGGACCGTACCCCTTTGGCAAAATCGTCAGCCTGCATCACCTCAATGGTGCATCACATTCAACAAGAGCTCGCCACACTTGTTAGGCAACAATCAATTGCCTGAGTTGTGCTATGATCCTTTGGCTCTTGAAATCCATCAAGTTGGCAGCATGCCGAAACCCTCACCACAGAGCTGACGATTGGAGCTTAAAACTTTGCTGAGTCAGTGGTGCGGTGGCGCGAACTTGGCCAAGGGGAGTGACCTGTCCCTAGACATGACAAGTGCCATGTTCCAGAAAGAATGCATCCGTAAAGCAGAACCATCCCCACCTGAACAAACCAGAGGACTGAACAAGCAGAAGATGACTTCAATATTTTGAGGGCCCTTGTGACAATGATGACATGGCCTTTTTACGCAAGACTCAGGCATTCAATATTGTTACTTGGAGCTAGTTGAGTTTTTGCGGGCGGAGCGCGCTGAAGCGCAGTTGCTTTCTGGACCTCGCGCAACCTCTGGTGATGCACATTTTCCCTCCGATAGGGGGTCTCTGCGCTGTTTGTAGCTGGTGGCGTTCAGTATTTGTGTTTAGTTTTGGATGGTGCGGGAAGCCAGTGTATTTTCACTCCACGTAATATGTAGCTTTTAGCCATGCAATGTATGTAGGATATCATGTACGCTTACCTGTAGCTCGCGGCCCAAAACAGGAGCGGTAGCTTAACGGCTGTTTTTATAGGCTATCAGCCGTAGTGCTCTAACCACAGCCATGGACACCCTCGCTCTATCGAGTAACGAATAGGTCTTGATGATCCTATGGGTACAGCCCCTGTGACTGCGTACTTTCAGTTTGTGCAACAGAACACGCAGCAGGTCTACAATGGCAATGAAGAAGCAGTCATCGCTCAGGCTGAGCTGAACGGAGGCGCAAGGAGGTAATGGCCCAGTGGTTGGAAACTGCAAACGCAAAATTGCGTGAAGCCATTCTAGAGGTTGAAGGCAAACACCATGAAGAGCTCAGTTCTATGAAGCAGCAAGCCCAAACAAGCTATGACAAACTGCAGGTAGAGCTTAGCGCCGCCAAACCACGTATATTCAAGTTAGAAAACGAGAAGGCAGCAGAAATGGATGCGCTGCGTACTCAACCCACGCATGATTGTCAAGGGACAGTGAACGCTGTCACTCTCAATGCTGTGAGCAAGGACTTTCCAAAATGCGCGCGGACTTTGATGAGCGGCATCTGGCTACTACCTGGAGGGCGGGTATTCGAACGATGTTGACGCTGTTGTCAGCGGCGTGTTGGGACATCGTACTGCTCACTCGTGCTCGCAAGGCCTGCTCGACAAGCGCCCGTGGATGAGGCCAGAACTTGAACCACTCGTAAGGACGTTCAAGGAACATCTGGCCACCTTCACCGGTGTGCCCACGAATCAGGACTATTCAAATCCTGATCCCCGATTCCACTTTGAATCTTGTCAGTGGATCAAAGCGCAAGCCGAAGCGATGCGATCTTGCAGATCACTTCCAGGCCTACAAGCCTGCGTACTGCCGACATTTTCATCACGAATGTGTTTGGGGGGCAGAGTTGGACTATTTGCTCAAGCGAGCACGGATTGATGTCCGGAGCCTCAAGTCGCAGTACCCAACAAAGTCAATCAGGAGATGCGGCAGTGGCAGGCGAAGGGCAAGTGCAAGACCAGTGGGGTTCCCTGCAACCAAAGCAAAGGGGCCCGAGCCACCTTCAACGGTGCGCCCAACCGGGGCTTCATCATCATCCTCGTCGAGGATGGCGCTCACGCGATTGGAGCGAGTGGCAGCCGCGTGAGGAGTGGAGCCGTGGCGCTTGGGACTGGAGCTCGAGTAGGAGCTGGGGGCGATGGCAGTAGTTGAGCCAAGTCTCAGCATTTGTGCGAGCGTAATTCAATAGCCTTTTCATGATGTCCTTTGTAAATATGTAGCAGTTTTCCTCCCTAGTCCAAACTTTCAACTTTCTTTTGGCAGCGGGGAGCGAATTCAAATTGCACTAACAAGGGCCTCATTTGGCATGGGTTGCTCCTCAGCAAAGCCTGCTTCACCGCTTTCCGCGTCCAGCTTCGGTATCAAAGATATCTTAGCTGAGGGGGGTGTATTTTCACTCCACGTACATCTAGGGCCCAATGAAGGGAAGTGGAACTCCTACCTCTAAAACGTCCCAGTTTGGTGTGCCACCCCGGCGTTCTTTGTTTCCTTCGAGCACAGCTCGACTCATGGAATGAATGGGGGGCAATGGCCGCACCTCAGCAACACGATCCGATAGCCCGGTTGTCTTCCTTTGAACCAGAATCGGTGGTCTCCTCAAATTTGAAGCACCAAAGGAACCTCATCTACAAACCGCAATTTCTACACCTCGCGATGGTGTCGGTTGGGTCCCAGATATATCCCCTGGTAAAAAAAAAAACCCAATGTCAAAGTGTATGGTTTTCTCACATTGTGTCCACCAGACTTGAGTGGGGTTGTGGGAGGTGAAACCCTGAACCGGTGTCAGGTAAAACTACTTCTACGATTGTAGTACATCACAAATACGGGTCCACCATCCCACGATTGCGCCCTCACGTCAATACCACTATTCTTTTCTCGCGTAGCGCCTTCGGCGTCTGTTGATAGACGATAGATGCTGCAATTGGCATATGAATACACTGTTCAGAAATTCAAAAATCAAATGAATCTTCCATCATCTCGTTGAGTTCATCGTCATCCGGCCACAAGAGATCTTCCGCTGCAGCCGCTGCTGTCTCTGAGATCCTATGGGCCTTGAAGGCGTCCGCTCCGGACGACTCACCCTGTGGCTCCTGATCTGGCCGCAAGATCGCAGCCGCTGCAGCCACTGGTGTATCTGAGATCATATGGGATGCACAGGCGTCCGAATCAGCCTGTGGCTCCTTGCCAGGTAATCCGAGAATACCCAGCCCAAGATCAAGCGCCAGTTGGGAATGCAGTTGTGGAGGGAAACGGAACATGAACAAAGCACAAGATTTAACAGTGCATAACGTTGGAAATATAGCCTCAGCGACAAAACATCAGATGTAACACCGCACAGTGTGGGAAGCAATTTCAGTAACAAAAAACTCAACCTTGAGAAGGGCCATTCCAGCAAAAAAGTAAAGTTGCGAAGGGCCAGGCATTCCAGAAAAACACTTTCCAACTTGGAATTTCCAACAACCAAAACATAACGTTGGGAAGGGCCATTCAAAGGAGATTCAATGAACCTCGCTGACCACCTGCGTTACACACTTTTGGGGGGCAATACACCTCCCTTGTATGGCGCTTCGTAACGTTACGTTGTTACCCTTGCACGTTGCTTCCCTGTCCTTGAACAGCTTGTTTGGGCAGTCAACCCAAACAGTTCTCCGATCAATTGCAGCCTGATGACTGGAATGAAAATACTCTGGGGGCCAAAACTGTGGGACTTCATGGTTTGTAGTGAAGATCCTTGGCGTTTGCGCTGGAATGTGTCCGTCAGAGCAACGGTTGTGCACATCGCGTGCGTGAGTCACATCGCACCAAGCTTTCGCATCATCAATGCTCACTGTCCTGAAACAAGCCTCATCGACAACAAGTCCCTCACCTGGGTGCACGGTGATCTTATGCATCTGATCAAGCTTGCTGACAAAGTGGATGCCAGCGCGGCATGTGGACAAAAGCACGGATATAGCCATTTCAGTCTTCCCAGTCCCAGGCGGACCACGCAGGATTAAGGTATGGGTGAGGGATTGGGTCTCCTTCCACTGCAGGACCCGTGGAGGTACATCAAAGTGCTCCAAAGGAAAGCGTGGTGAGGTGATAAGAGTTGAAGCCCCCAAGGTTTCAGGTCGGTGCCACGCAGCCAAGATTTTCTGCACTTCCGCAGCTGGATCCCGAAGCTGCCCCACATGGTCCCAAACCAAAGAGTTGCCACGCATCTTTTCCTCTTTGGCGGCCTGGCGATGAGAGGGAATTATAAACAAAGCACTTTGGGCATGACCACAAAACCCGCGGCATCCCCAACGAAGTGATTGGACCAAACATTGGACTGCCTATGATGCACCTTGTCGTTCCAACCGCGTTGTTTCTACCAAGGAGGATGCTTATCTAAGACTGATATTACGCTTGATGGAAAACAGTCTCCAGATTGTATGTGTGCCAGGCCTTCCATAGCTCTGCCACTGTTGAAATCTTCCTTTCGACAACAAAGTCTGTAAGCTCGCTAAAAGACATGCGCCGGCGTCGTTTCTGCAAGGCCTCCGACGGACCTTTCTGCAGCCCCTCATTCTTCTTTCTGCCAGCCACCTGCGAGGACATCCCTGCAAGCTCGCCATCAGCTTTCTGCTTGGTGTAACTTGACGGATAAAACACAAGGTCACGGTCTAAATCATGCGCTGGTTTCTTTGCGCTCTCCATCATCAGGTAATCCAGATAGGCGCACCAGCCCGCGCGATG